AGGAACCAAATTTTCCCCTTTGACAATAAATCCAATTGATGATTTGTTGCAAAGATAATGATCCTCTCATTATTAGAAATAGAAAAATATTTTGCATGTGTGATTGAATCTAACTTTAACAAAAGAGGTTAATTTTCGAAAAGCTTATACTATATTTTATACTGCATTTTAGACCAAATTAATGTGTGATAAGGCCTACTAAAAGTTACTAACATCTAAAGCATCCGATACTATTTTCAAGCTTTGTTTTAGCCTAAGCTTCAATAACTGTAACAACTAAAAACCACATAAAGAATTTTGAATGTACTTTGTTGTATTTAATTGTAGGAATTTCTGCTTCTTCAGAACAATATTCACCCTTCCAATCATTTATCAATGCACCAAAATACTCACATAAACAGAACCTTTCAACTTCTTCTACAAATAGTCTCAAGAAATTTAATTTCAGTAGAAATCAATCAACAAACACCAGTTCAGTGTCAGTGTCATTCAAGAATATGTATTGATTAAAGGAGTTTCTAGTTCTAAACATGTAAGTTTTAACAAGCAGCTAAGGGTTAAAGAACTGAACTGCCAACTGGGAAATGTATTTCCTTTTACACATTTCCAAAAGCTTGAGTTCACTTGGCCAAAGGATTACAAAGTTGAAATGTAACAGTCTCATAATGCATGAACAACAAAAACATGAAAACTGTTATATCACAATGGTTAGCATGTGGCATTTCAAAAGCAAACCTGCTCTTCCATATCTGTTTTTGAAAAAGATGTAACAACTTTGACATGCATTTTTCTATATTGTTTGTTCCTTTGTTAGTTCCAAAGTGGCACCATCTGTTATGGTCAAAGAATCTATTTCCTGCGAATAATATGACTTTCTAAAGTCCCCAACTAAAATTTCTATGAAATAAAAATCTTTCAAAACTTCCACCATTATAATTTCTAGGAAATAAAAGCTTTTTCGATGTTCCACCATTTTCATGGCTACAAAAGAAAAGTCTTTCTAAAGTTCTATCATAGTTAAGGTCTAAATATCATTATGCATTATTTCCAAGTGCACTTTTCAAACAATTGAAAAAGATTTACATAAAATGAATCAGAATTAAAATACAATCCAAATGATAATAATGAACCATCCAAACATTATTTAAGTATAAAATATAATGAAAATTGTGCAATAACAAGAAAAAAGAAAATTAGTAAATCAATTGCCAAATGATATCCAAAGTACTTATCAAAGTGAAGAAAACTGACATCTTTTCTTTTCATAAGGATCTGGAATTTCACTTTGTACCAGAAAATTGAAATAGTATATTTTCCCTTGGTTAATAATTTTACTATCATCTTTATATAAAATGATTTTGTCATTTGTAGACATATCGTAACATTTAAATAACTGAAATTTTTCATTGTAGAATGCAGCACATTTACATTTATATTTATAAGTTTCCTGAATATTTTCCACAAATTGTATTATAAATTCCTCTTTGTATTTTTGACAACAGTCTTCTTCAAATCTATTTTCTTCTGTGTAAAATATTATGCAATTACTTTTCGAATCTGTAATACATGAGTATTCTCCATGATTATTATTGTCCACAATATATATTGAAGTCTTCATAAAAAATGTGTTATAATTGCTTTGAAGAATATTTTTGAAAATATGATTATCAAAATGCTTTTTAACTTGATACATCTTTGGCCATGTATAGTCATTTTTTTGCCACATATCATCAAAAATTGTGAGGTTTCATTATGTAAATGGATCAAAATAATCTTGCAAACTTTTCAACTGATTTTCACTTTGAAATGGAACATGAATTATTCCTTTAGGAATTTTCTCCTCTAAGTTTATCTTGAATTGAATTTCAAATCCAACTGGAAAGTGGTCACTGAATGTTATGTTGTAATAAACTGTTCCACTATTTCTAATTATAGCTTTTTCCAAGTCAGTTCCATATATGTATAACTTTAATATCAATAATAAGAGAAATTACTAAACAAATTACTATTATACTGTCATATATTTCTGTTTTAATTTGATTGGTATTGATCTTTGGGTACGTAAAGTAAATTCTTCTGGTACATTTGGCTCATGTGAAAGATATTGTTCAGACCAATTAAGATCTCCACCAATAATCAAATTTTTAAAATGCTGAAAAAAATTACAATTTACTGTTTGAAAATAGTATGGAATGACCTAATATTTTTTTCCCAAGAGAATCACAACCTCATCATGATATTCTGTTGTTATATCTTTTGACAATTTGAAAAGATTGTTTATCCCTGTAACTGTTGAAGGGTAACAATGTAATATATTTCCAATTTTTTTATTTTTTGCATTCTTATTAGGGTTAGTATGCAAAGAAATAAAGGTAAATGTATCCAATTCACAATATTTTGTTTGAAAAGAAACAATAAGTGGTGGTCGAAAAAATTGATGCATCAACATTTTATGATTTTCTTCTTCAGCCTCCCATGTTTTTGCACAATCCAAATCTTTACTGTCAGTGTTGCAAATATTAACAAAATATTTTGTATTGTAAAGATAAGCAGAGTTTTCATTGTGGAATTTTCCGCCAATTATTATGTAATATGGACATTGATTTTTCTCATTTAGCTGTTCATTTAAATTTTTCAATATTTTTCCATAATCTATAGGGTCAGCTGTCAATTCTTGTAAGGCAAGCAAATCAAAATTTTGTATGACCTGAAAGAAATTCTAAATTGTGATGAAAATACCAAAAGAAATGTCTAATACTTTTGAAATTTCTTGCTCAATCTTTCCCTTTTTAATATTAAATGCTCCAATTCTTATATTCCGAACTCTATCCAATTTTTCCTCCAAAGTTGCATTCATGCTTGTATCTTGATTCCATTCAATGATCAATTGAGACTTTTCGAAATCACATTTGCCATCCTTTGAAATATCTGTTTAAATGTATAAAGAAATGTTTTCTTCATTTCTTGATTTTTTAAAATAAAGGTATTGTATATATATTTTTACTATAAGTTAAAAGTCCTGGTTTCTCCTCATTTCCTTTAAAGTCACGTGGAAAAATGGTAATTTTTCTTTTTTCTAAGTTGAGATTTATTGTTTTCAAATGAAATATTCTTTTTTCTTTATCCCAATCGCTGTATAATTTAATAGTTTGTTGTGTGTCTCCAACCTATATAAATTTAATGGAATAGAATAAATAAAATTTTTACAATAAAAATATTTCTTGTTAATATAAAGAATATTACATTGTCCACCAGTCGTGGGTAGAAAAATACTCCATTAGGATGATCCTCAGTAGCTATATCCAAGGGTGTGCGCTTTTTGTCTAGGACAGTTCTGTCTGACCTTTGATGAAGCAGTAGTTTTATTGGTATTTTTATTTTACATTCAAAGTGCTCAGAATCTAATTTTAAATCACTAGTTCCTGCTGTCAATTCCTCAGTTTCATTATCATTAGATTTCGTAGCCATTTTTATTTGTGCTTTGCAAATACAGCTCCCAGTTTGTGTATATTAATAATATAGATTAGTCATTGTTAAAAAAGTGGTGACAATAGCCATGGCTCTCAAGTTACAGCTTGTGAAAAAATGCCCACTATTGACTAACAATAGATTTAGGTTATAAGATTGTTATAAGGATTATGTTAGAATTTTAAATCTATGAAAGCAGTGATAATAGCCGATATGATAAGAGAAATGTTGGTAAAAATAGTAGCAGATCCAACTTTGCCACCAATGAATAAGTTATTATAATTATCTCCAATGCAATATTTATCACAAATTCTTGTTCCATCAGCAATTTTCTTCCAGTGTTGTTTCATTGTTTCCATAGTGTTTTGAATAGGTCAAACCTACTCAAAATGGATGACTAGAGTTTTGTTATCATATTTTAGTTAAATTTTGTTTACTTACAAAGAAATAGTACAATGTTTAAAAATCTTGAAAAGGAAGAGAGATTTTTTCTGATGAATGTTGGTTGCTAAATGTTAATGATATTTTAAAACCATTTGAATTCATTTATTTTTTAAGACATATTCTAATCCATTTCTATAATAAGTGGGCAACAGAAAACGTCCACAACAGAAAACGTCCACAACAGAAAACGTCCACAATTGACAGAAAACGTCCACAGATGGACAGAAAATGTCCACAGATGAACAGAACACATCCACAGACGGACAGAAAATGTCCACAAATGAACAGTAAATGTCCACATAGTATTAAAAAAATTATTAAATAGGAATAGAGAAGATGAAAGGAATTAATATATTTTTCTTAATTGATTAAATACTAATGATCTGAGAAAATGAAAACCATGAAATTGCAAGTAAAAAAGTTTATTTAAGAACATAATTTTTCAAATGACTTGAACATTTTTGATATTTTTAATACTGTTGAATTACTACTGCACATATTTAATAATATAAAGCAGAACACATCTCAACAAGTTGACTTGCTGTGATGTCACCAACTTTAAAGTTTTCCCAAATGGAAAACAGTTCCTTTTGAATTTCTGTGTAGACTTTTTTTTGCATTCTCAATATCTTCTTCTCACTTAATAATTTTTCATAGTGTACTTTGTTGTATTGTAATTGTAGGAATTTCTGGTTCGTCACAACTGTAATCGTCCTTTCCAATCATTTACCAACTTGCCAAAGTACTGGTCCAAATAGAACCTTTAAAGTTCGTCCACAAATAGTCTAACAAAGGCAATTTCGGTAGAAATTGATTAACAAAACACCAGTATTTCGTGCAAAGAATATGTATTGAGTAAAATGAGCTTCTAGTTCTAAACAAGCTAGTTTAAACAACTAGCTGACGGTTAGAAAACTGAACTATCAACTGTTAATTTCGTAGGGTTTATATACTCTTTTAAGGGTTGATAGTTCACAAATTTCAATGTTCACAAAAACAAAAGTAACATTTGAAGACAAAGAAAAGTTCTAAATATGGTCATGTTTTTATTGTTTTCCTCTTCTAAATAATAGTTGAATTTCTCAGGTTGGAGAGTTGCATAAGATGTAACAATTTTAGTAGGACAAGTCCAACAATCAAGAAAACATGTAGATTGTATATTTGACCGTTTTTATATTCTACCTTAATAATGATATTCAATTGATTGAGCTAGTAAATTTAGCATCAGCATATAAGGAGGAAGTATATCTGATTAATGCATGTTAAAAAGAACAGTATTGTGTATACAATACTGTTGAATAGTGAATATAATCTAAACTTAGAATTTAAGCATAATTGATAATTAATTGAACTAGTTTTAGTTCGAAATCATAAATTTATGGATTAATAAATTGTAATATTAATGCTAGGTTGCAAATAGCAAATATTCTTTATATAATTCAATAGGTTTTATTACTGCATAATGTGTATGCACTGCCCTATGCGAAACTAGGTCACTACTGCTTATCTTTATCAGTGCTATCTGCATAGTACAATACTGGTTCAATACTACTTCTCTATTGTAGAATATAGCTGACGAATGTATGTGTACACATAGACAGAAATTAAGTCAGCCTCTCTCTTTAGTTCACCAATAATTGTGTAAAATGATGAGTTTATTCCCATGTTTTTATTGAGTCTATTATGGAATGGAAACTGGAAGGACAGAATTTTCCCTTTCTATCAAGAAATATTTTGGATAATAGAGAAAGTACCTATGAAATAGATTGCCAATGCATTTGTGATACAAATTCAATTGATCAATGCCAATTCAATATGACACATAATTACATTAATCATGAAAATCCTTATTCAAAAGTCTATGATGGAAATAGAAATGGCCTGTTGGCTAGAGTGAATCTATCACCAAGTTATACAGATCACCAATTGACTACACTCAAATATTTTGATAAAAAACAAAAAGATTCAACCATCTTAGAAGGTTATATCAAAGGAAAAGTTGAGCTTAGTGGAAATGTTAGAATCAAAGATACAACACTGATCAATGGTGATTTAAAAATTTTATCCCAAAATACAAAGATATCATTTGATCTAGGTAAGCATTTGATAGTAAATGGAGAATTATATATTGGAAAACCAAATGAAAAAAGAGTTTTAATCACTACTAAAACATCAAAATTGAAGCAAGAAAGTAGCCATTTTCAACTTAAAAAAATTAACATATCACTTTTCTTATTCAACTCTGAAGATGGACTACAAAAATCTGTTCAAATCAATTTAACAAGAAACAGTAGTATTTTACAATTTTTCAAAATAAATCAACTGGTTTGCCAACATTTTAATCTAAATACCGATCCACAATCAACAGCTGGAATATCATACTCAAAATTGAACTTTTCAACAACAGACTGGATTCTAGATTGCTACAATGCTACTCAATTCAACCAATGTACAAAATTTGTAAATGCAGATGTTCTACCAACAATCCTTTCTTTCAGCTGTTTACCAACAGTATTCAATGAGGCAATTGTAAATGTAAATGGGAAAAATAACCTTATTCAAAATGCCCATTTTCATGGTGTTGGTCTAAATTTATTTTTAAATGATGATTATGCAATTGTTAAAGATTCCTATTTTTCATCCAATTCAAGTGGTTTACAAATTATTGGATCAAATTCAAATGCATCATTAGAAATATCCAATATTTTAGTAGAATCTACAACAGAAGTAGGATTAGATTTAAAAGGAACATTTAATAAATTCTCCATTCGAAATAGTCATTTTAACAATAATAAAAATTCAATCAGACTAATTCAAGGATTTTCTCAGATGTCTGAATATAATTTTCCCAAACAATCTCTTTTTTCACCAATTTCTTTTTGTTCAATCGGCGCTTTTTATAATTTGAAAGATAGAGATTTATTTTTGGATTTGTCTTGGCCAAATAATTTCCATACTGGATGCTCATTAACTATAACTATTCCTCATGGATTCATTTTTAAAGTTCAGTTATTGAATAATTCACCAATAAATATAGAAAATATAATAATCACTCCTCAAAATGGAATACCATATTTCTTGTTTTCACAGCCTAATACAGTAAGTATTGATATATGATTATCATCATCACTTTCCCATTCTATATCAATTATTCATCTCAATCTCTAGGATGCTTTCTATATTTTTGATGAAAATATTGAAATGCAATTAACTGATCCTAACTTCTCAGAACACCTGATACTACTCTTCTCTAAAATTCAGAGACCAGGTTTGTAACAATTTCAAGATAAATGCGAAATGTACATTTCCCATTTTTCCAACTTTTTCTTTTACATAGGCGTAGATACTGTGGTGACACATTTGATAATCACATAAATTCTTTTGGAAATTTACTACTCATCCACTCTGAATACTTTCATGAAAGACGTTTTATTGATATCTATCACCAAAATCTAGTTTCTAACCAAAATTATTGCTACTTTCGGTTTTATCTGCTTAATGGTGATGGTAGAATTACTGTATTAATAAAATCTGATGATAAACAAACAGAAATCATCAGAGAATACTCAGCCACTAAAGAATATATATGGAAATATTATGATATTCCAATTTATGAATTGGAAAATAGAAATTTTAATATAACTCTTCGCATTGAATTACTAAGGTGTGTAGGTTTTAGAGATCCACAATTCATATTTTGCAATGATGATGATGACAAACATAGAGATTATTGTATTGTAAACAATTCATTTACTAATGAAAAATCAACAGCTATATATCTCAATTATCAAACCTCAGAGCATAAAAACTATTTTCATTTTGAAAATTTGCTATTTTCATCTGTTAAACATTCAATTTACATGTCAACTAAAAGATCATCAGTCTATATGAAAAATGTAAATATTCAAAATTCAAAATCAACTCCATTCAATCTAATTAATAATGAAAATATTTTTATGAAAAATGATAATTTGAGCATTTATATAACTCAATGTAGATTTTCTCAAAATGACAATTTTCAAAATTCTCTATTGAAAATTTCTAACAATAATAATGTTGAACTGGGAATATTTCTAAAGCAAACAACTTTTGATCAATGTTCAAATGTTTTGAATGATGATGTTAATTCTTTTCAAATAGCTTGTTTTACAAACTCAAGTGGTCTAATTTTGAATGACTGTTCTCATAATTGGTGGGGTGAAACTCATTCAAGTGAAATTCATAAGAGAATCTATGATGGCAGGTATGATTCTTCTCTTCAACTTCTTGATTATTCCCAAAATCTTCAACAATTCCCTAAAAATAATCATCTAAACTCATTTTGTGGTCTAACTGGATGGAAATATATTGAAAAATCTTGCTATTACTTTCATTTTGGACCATTGACTTTCAACAATGCTAAAAAATGGTGTTTGAATCATTTTTCACAATTACTATCAGCAAACCATTTACTTAATAAAAATATTAAAGATATACTTAGAATAACGGAATCAAGTAAAAATGAACAAAAATTCACAACAACTGATATATGGACTGCAAATAGTGGATATCCTGAGC